CTCTCTCTCTTTTCCTCTCTCTCTTTCTTTCTCTCTTTTTTCTTTCTCTCTCTCTTTCTTTCTTTCTTTCTCTCTCTATCTCTCTCTCTTTCTCTCCCTCTGTCCATCAATTAATTTCTTTCTTTATCTCTCTGTACCCTATTGTACCTCTCTGTATATTAATATCACTGTCTATTTCTCATATACCCACTTCTAAAGGACAAAGTATTAGCCTTTTTTAACCTGCTCTTTCACTGGCTTTGTTTTGAAAGAAAGTGTTACAAAGTATCTTTATTGATTTCTCATATGCCCACATCGGCAAGACAAAGTATTCGCCTACTAACCGTCTTCTTCACTGGCTTTGTTTCGAAAGAAAGGACTACAGGTATCTTTTATTGTGCCGCTAGCTCATCAGATCAATGAGCGTCTCTATTAACAGAATTTGACGTACAACTTTTACAGTAAAATGAAACAAACTCTAGTAAAAAAAGCATAGATCCTGTTATTTTCTCAACATAAAAATTGCCGAGTAATTACAAATAATTCATCCTAATAAGTTCAGCTTAACTGGCTCGTTTCAACAGTAAGTATAATCGGTTTAACTACAGAACGCATGTATGTGATAAGTCTATATTTGCCTTGATTGACCCATCTTTTTTTATATCGTTAATGCGGCGCTTACTTCCTTTGTAATTGTGAATTTAAAATGGTAAGTCTTGTCATTTTACAATCCTTTTCCCATTCGCCAATTGTAAATGTCAAGGAACTTAAGACAGACAGTATTAAAAAGCTCAGTTAAACTGAGTTGACACTCTTTGTTAATCCTTAACCGCTGATCGATATTGTGTTTCGGGTCATGGGATATCAGCTATAATAAGCATCACGATGTGAATCATTGAAAGTGAAAGATGAACGGCATGAAATTATGAGATCTTACATTTGATCCAAAGTGTATGAATTCATAAAAACTCACATTTCCTAAAACTACAATCATGCAATTATAGAAGGTGTGCGTTATAAAGGGTTGACAGAGGCCGGGGGGAGAGGGGGGGGCTGCTTTCGTTTAATGTACTGGTGATGTATAATGACACAATCTTTCTATTTTCATCTTAAGGCCTAACCAGTTACTTCTCGCGTTCACTTTATAGGCTATTTTGTTTACCAGCGTCTGTGGTGCAGCGATAAGAAGGATCATGCTGTACGCAGGAGGTCCGAATTTGCTACCTGCGTGGGGCGAATTTCTATCGAGTAACTCAGTCTTTCCGCGAGAATGTTATATCCCTCTACCCAGGTTGGTGTTGACGGGCAGTTTCGGACTCCCGTCTACCAACTGATTTTACGTATTGTCGAAGGGAACATAGAAATATCCAAATGAAAGAAATATACAGATATTTAGTATTGCTTTAGTCTTTTTCTTTCTTTCTGGTTCAACTGTCTTAATTTAAATGCCATTGCAAAATTGTAACTTTGCATTTCGGTGTTGGGGGAGACTAGAATTTTCATTACCACACAAGTTGCTGAAGACTTGCAAAGTAACCGCAAAGACACTTCATATAGAGAACGACGTAAATATTTTCCTCTGAAAATATCAAGAGAAATCATTTTTACTACAATAAGTAAATAGAATTATGTTTACCTTACCATGCTTGATAAACAATTAGCACTGTGCATAATTGACGTAAACAGTACATTTACGATCTTTAGAACTGAAAAGTTTTTGTTTTGATGATTAGTAATATTTGCATACAATACTAGTATTGAAAAATCCCTGATTTCGTTTTTGACAACATACTCAGGACGTGTAATAGAAGCCATCAAGCTGTGAATGATTCTTAGCTGAGCACTAATGTCGGGTGTTGGCCAGCGAAGGAACACAACAAAATGCCTTTATAGAAAACCTTCTTCGGTTTTTCAGAGGTGGGAGGGGGGGGGGGGTAACTGTTTTAAAGTTTTAAATAGGCATGTAGGGAAAGAAATGCTTGATTGTCTGCTTGTTTGTTCTGACTATGGAATATCAGTGGAAAGAATGGACATAACATGATTGTTGTGAATGTTTTGGGTGAATACCAAAGGAAGATGAAACTGTTAAAAGAGAATTTACCAAGGATTGATTGTGTTACTGGTGTTTTGATGAGGAAAAGAACTGATTATCTATTTTTGTATGTGTCAAAATGGTAAGGAGATAATGTAGTGACGAGGTTGATAGCCGAAATATGTGATAGTCACTTGGAAATAAATGTTTTCCATTCATGAGCATTGAACTATTTTTTTAAAAATTGTAAACGAACCTGTAACACAGTAGTGAAGACGCTTATCTTTCCTGGACGTATCAAATAACCTGAACTTGTTATGAACAATATAAGGGGAAAAATTGGCGTCATGGCTCCGAGAACAACCGATGGAAAATTCAGGTCCCATGCGTTATGTACAACTCTAGAAAAATAAGACGGGGAATCTGTGATTCCAAAGTCAAATCAACTCCAGGGTAATTTTTTTGACAATTGGCATTTAATTATTTGGTAAAGCTAACTTTTAATTATTGGTAAAGCTTTCTTGGATCAGAAATTAACTTACATTATTTAAATTATGTGACTGTTTTTCTCCTGTAACGGGAAAGAATGACTTTAACTGGTGGTCAGGTGAGGTGTTGCAAAGTAACCTCGCTCTTGGTGTAGAAAATGTCGCTTATAACTGCGTTTTAATTTCAATAAATGATCTTCAGTCTTTTCTTTGAAGTGTTGCTTTTTCCCTTGAGTGCGATTATATTTACTTTACTGAAATAATTGTTACTTTGTGAGGAAGTCAGTTATTATAGAAAATCAACCAAGTTTATCACAGAACATCTGAGGTCTTGTTTTACCGCTATTGGATTATGTCACCGATGTTTGTTCTGACTTCGTTTTAACTCATGGTTAATGCCATAATATTGCAATCAAATCTAAAAATATGGTATTTTTAGTCAGAGAGGGATCTCATGGTCTAGAATTACTGTGTGCCTCACATTCAATAGGTCCCGAGTTGGAAAACTGACAGCGACGGGAAATTTTATCGTCTAAACTGTCCTCCGTTTACCTCTTTTCCTGCTCTCTAATCATGTTCTGTCTTTTGCTTTCATCTCCACTTTCTGACTCCCCTTTCTCTGGGCTCCTGACTATTTCTGCTGCTACTCCTGGTTTCTTCTTTCTGTTGTCTCTCAGCCTCATCCCTGATCTTAGGTAAGATCGAACACCTAGCTTTCTCAGAAATTGGTGGAAAAATCTCGGCGGGCCCTTGTGCATGTTACGCATGTTTCTTGGTAGTCCTAAAATCGATAACAGTAGGCTTCGACCGCCACCCTCGCCAAATTCAAAATCAGTTACTACGGAACTGAAAAGGCTTGATATGTCCCGCTCACTCATTATTATTAGGACATTATACAGTTACAGCCTCGAAAAAAAGCACTTTAAAATGTGGCTGTGATGTGGAATCAAGGGCTAAGATACTGTACAAACTGAAACATGATCGATTGACAAGGTTACCTTTGTTGAAATAATAAAAATATTTTAGCTTTGACTCAATCTATAATCAATGACTGCATGAAGGAAAATATGTGGTGAAACAGTAGGTAGGGCAAACAATAGTGTGAAACAGATTGGACAATAGAGCGGCTGCAAATATCACGCAAAACTTGGACTTAATATTACATGTACCCATAACATTCTTTTTAGGGGACAGTAGTTTGTGAATAGCACGAACCCTTCGGGCACGATCTGTACTAGATTTTAGACGGAACTATATCAGTCTTTGTACTCCAAATGTCTCAGAGAGTTGCAAAAAAAGCGTCTGAACCGAGAGTAAAGTCGCATTTCTGCAGCTTCCGTTTCATGGGGCTCCACACATATGTAGGATTCAATTAAGGGCTATTAGTTCAAAGTTAATTCCTACCAAATTGAAAATGCTTGATGTGTCCCGCTCGCTCACATGACAGTATGAAGTTCTTGTGTGGAAAAGCCAGAAGAACACCCAAACCAGCTGATAACAGGCACGATCAGCAAACAAACCCTTTCATGGGTCATTGAGAGGAGGAAGGAGCAGCTATGGCATTGTGTCACCTGCAGTGATAAATATTTTCCAACCAAGTAAACAAGTAAGCTGTGAGCGCCGAAAACACACCA